TCTCTGATGATACAGCCATCGTTGGATGTATATCGAAGGGTAACGATCTGGAATACAGGGGGGTCATCGCCAACTTTGATGAATGGTGTGGAAGGAATCACCTCCTGATAAACGCCAGTAAGACAAAGGAGATGGTAACTGACTTCCGCCACTAGGTGACTCCGTCTGCACCAGTGAACATTCTGGGAGTGCAGGTAGAGGTTGTGTCTGTGTACAAATATCTGGGTGTTCACATAAACAACAAACTGGACTGGTCACAGAACACAGAGAGCAAAGCCGCCTCCACCTGCTGAGGAGGCTGAGGTCCTGTGGCGTGTGCAGGACACTACTAGGGACCTTTCACCACACTATGGTAGCATCTGCTGTATTCTTGGCAGTGGTCTGCTGGGGGTGCGGGAGCTCAGGAAGGGACAGGAAGAGACTGAACAAACTGGTCCGGAGCGCTGGCTCTGTCCTGGGCTGCTCTTTGGACTACACTGAGGAGGTGGCTGAGAGGAGGATGCTGGCCAAATTTACATCCATTATGGTCAGTTCCTCTCACCCCCTGCATGGCACAGTGAGGACATTACTTAGCTCCTTCAGCAACAGACTACTGCATCCAACATGCAAGAAGGAACGATTCCACGGGTCCTTCATTCCATCTGCCATCAGACTTTATAACACCTCAGTCACCTAAAGTTCATAAATTATATCACTATTATGTATATTGTGCAATATCCACTGCATAGGTATACAACTATATTTACATGACTCGGTGCAATCTGTATGTATGTGTATCTGTATGTATGTGTATCTGTGTGTGTGTGTGTGTGTATCTGTGTGTATGTGTATTTTGGGTCTCTGCAGTATGTGTAATTGTGTGCACTAATTTTATTATTTATTATATTGTTACAGTATTTTTTTGGTCTGTTTCTTTTCTATTGTTTTTTATTTACTGGCGGTTGCAACAAGTAAATTTCCCCAGTGTGGGATCAATAAAGTCTTATCTAATCGAATCTAATGTGGGATAATCCAGATCAAGTAAAGTTTCTAAGTCTCAATTTATCTTGTGATAGATTAGAGATTTACCATAAAGAGTAATCAATCGAGCGTTGAAAATGTGATCAATATCTTCTTCTGAAGTCCAAACAGATAAGAGCCATAAATTGCAGGAAGGTGGAGTACAGTGTAATTACTTCTTTTCCATAAAGTTACAACATTCTCAGTACAGGACAATTTGATGCTTCCTAGCGACGCTGTGTGCTCTTTCCATAGGGTTCCTATGGTGTTCCTGCCGCTGAACGGGACGCGCTTTACCGGGTGGCAGTTATTTTTGAGTTCGGACCTATACGCATTACGGGGCACTCGGCCCGAAAACTCGGATTCGATCGCAGCCACCACGACGGCCGGAATACGTCAGAGTGGCATATGGCATCTGATTGGCCGATTCGGAGGGAGGGCGGCCCTGCGTTCGACCGCTTCCGCTTTCCACGCGCAGCCTTCCTTAGCTTCTTGGGTGACTGGCGACCGCGGACGCGTCGGGCACACGAACACGGCCGGTGCAGAGATGTGCGATTTCGACAGGACACTGTCGTCTTACTCTCTGACACAGCTAAATGAGTTGCTCGAGGACGATGAGAAGCTCTATAAAATTGTCACGGAGCTGGAGGAGGTAGGCGAGAGCTTGGCTTTCTGAGAAAGTCACCGTCTGTCACAGCCTAGTTGCCACAAGATAGTTAACGAACCATTCCAGCACAGTACGGGATCGGCAAGGCTGTTAAGGCCTCGGCTTTTAATTCGTAAACTCAATATCTAAAAGTTACTTACTTAATAAGTAGCTTGTCAGTAACCACATCACGTGAGACGGTTTAATTCAGTGGCCACATATATTATTTATCTAATTATCTTAAGAACATCTTCCCTTGTTTAAGTTGATTGCAAAATATTTCGGCAAACTGCCGTTGTGAAAGTATATTGGGTGTCGTCTTTCAACTGCTCCGTTTAACTTTTAACTGTTAGGTGACTAGGGAAAAAAACTATTAACCGGTGAACTTTTTTGAACGGCGAATTTAAGATAACTAGCTATAATCTATTAATGTGTTTTACCCGATAAGGAGGTTATTATCATGCCGTTTATCTTGCACTAAGACCTCCGCATGTTCCTGACATATCAAGTATTAATTAAAGAAAAAAAGTAATGGTACTTGAAGGGCAGGAAAAATGGCAGAATGCCGACAACCATAACTTTAGACTGGGTGGGGAGGGGCCTTAGTAAATAAATAAATCGTATTTGGTGAGATTTTTAAGTTGCTTAGTTCCACATCCTTCATTTAAATGCACGACAGGAGCCATCTGCGGTGTATTGTGTGATTTTTACTATTATTGTCATTTATTGATATTTGGGCTCCACTTATAGCGTCGTACCGAAGGTAAACAAGTTTTTTTTGTTCCACGTCCCGATTACTATGCGGACTGACCCATAATGCAGCGTCTGTGTAGCTGGCTGAAAGGCGTGTGTGTGTTATGACGTTAACTAAGTTTACGGGATTAAGTCGACGATCCTGCATTTTTGAATCACACCCGGCCCGGCACGGCACACACAAATTACAGATCGTAACTGTACGATTGTGCAATTAGAAAGTAGCAGTGTTACACAGCATTTATTGTGGTTAATCGCATATGAAATATATATGTAATTTGTTTTGCTGCAGTTCCTTCAAAGCAGCCCCCATTTTAAAAGTCTGTTGTTGTCTTTGCCTGTTTGTTGTTGTTTTGTTTTTTTTTGAGATTGTTGGCCAGTGTAGATTTTGTTGAAAGACATTCCATTAGGCATGACAAAAGTGCTTTTACTTAATTTGAAAACCAAAACTTTATTTAAAGACGGATTGTCACACAGTGTTAATTGAATTGGTATTTTATTAAGGGAGATGGCTAAGTTTCTCATAGAGATTAAATGGATATTTTGAATACGTTGTAATCAATTCAGTGTTCAAGCTTTAATTCTGAATCGTGAAAATGGTGTGTCATAGCGGTAATAATGCTTATGAACAACAACTTTACGGTGCTTTGTTAAACTTGGGCTGGGCACTTGTGACATGCCTACTCTGTTAAACACTGAAGTTTCAGTGAAACTTCCCTCTACGCATGAGCCTTAAATAGTTTACGGAGCCTGGAAGGGTGTGGGAGTGTTTTGCATGTTCTGCTTCACTCCTGTCCGGTAAAGCGATCTGCCTGTGCCTTTCTACCTCATCCTTGGTCATAGAGACATGTGGAGCTGTATTGAGCTTTGACAGCACGTCTAAAGTTCTGCATTATCCCTCCCCCACCTTATGATTAACTGTATTGATCCTTGGGGGAAATTCTGGTGCATACAGCAGCAAGAACGTAGTGCACAGAGGAATATGCATGTACTGCCAATTAGACAAGGTACAGATCAGTACGCATAGTACAAGCAAAGTAAATGCACTGTAAAAAAAAATTAAAAGTACATAACAAATAAATGTAATGTTCTGACAAACAGAATGTGGTACTAAAACTTAATCATTTTTTCTCCTCATTGATAGTGATGACTTTAAATGCATGATTATCTATTCTGTTGAATGGTGTGGAAGCATTCAAGCATGTTGATGCCATGTCAGAAGGCCACAAGGCTCCAATGTATCTATCATTACACAGGTTTGCTAAGTAGGTCCTGCCCACTGCTGGATGTGTTTGGGTGGGTTAACTATTGTGATTGTGCTACCATGTCCTTCACTGTCTGTTTTCTGTTTGGTGTATCCATTTTGTTTTAGACACAATAGGCATTAATGCTAATGTAAATGTATATGGATTTGTTTAATTTTTACTAGGGAGAATGAAAATCTTTTGTTATTTTGGTGCTGAAAAAATAACATGTTAAATTCAGGTAAGTTATGTATACTGCAGATTATTCTGCTCCCCTGCCTTGTGACCTACAGTGTATGTGTCCTGGGGTAGGATCCCGGGTCTGCTCGTTGGTGGCTGGATGGATGGATGGATGGATGGATGGATGGAAATATCAATGAGGAATTGGACAGATGCATATGCTTGGAAGTATTTTATTTTTTGTTTTGTTTTATTTTATATTATATGAAACTAATTCAACTGTTCGGTCCTGAATATGGACAAAATAAACATGCCTTCAGTTATCCGTGGTTTACCGCGAGCTGAAAGAGAAGTTTAAGAATCCCAGAATCATTTCAAATAATATGATCACTGTAAAACTGTATTTCAGAAATGCAGAAATTCTTAGTCTTAAAAAGTTGGGCCAGTTATTTAGAATTATTACTGTTATAATGTTCTAATTTTTTTTGAGTACACCAGGTGCAAGCAAACAGGTATTTTACGTGTGCAGTTGTAGTATCAGCAATATCAATGGTGTAAATCTAAGTATCAAGTTTCAGTTTTGAAAAAGGAAGTTTGCCTTTTCAGTTGTTCACCTTTTCTGGAGTCTGGTCACAGAATAAATAAAGCAAAAACGTGCCTTGAGGTCAAAATTGGCTTAAGTAATTGAGTAACGTCTCAACTAATTTATAATCCAAACTTTCTTTAATCTTTACAATTAGCAGGATGTCCCCCAGGGTTCTGAACCTCTGATCTAGCAGAACGTCCTCTACTTGGCATATCCAGAGGTGAAAAGTGAGCTTTCTGCTGTTGTCGGGTCAGTGGTTCTATGTAGCTACTCTTCTTAGTGTAACAAGTATCCGTTCCACCAAGGATTGTTACCTGGAACATCTTGAGTTCCCGCGATGCTGTCTGTGCACACCAGGAAGCTACATGTCTCTTCTAGCCTTTAGTGTTATGATTTTTTTTCTTTTAGTGTTTCTCGTGAGGAACATGCCTGCCAGACCATTGGACCTGAAACACAATTTGTCTTTATTTGCCCTGTGCCGCATTCTTACTCTGCACTGTCAGTCAAGCCCCTCCCTTCGTGACCGAGAGGTTCTTGAATTCTAATCATGCCTCGGGCTGTTGGATCATGTGCATGCGCCTCCCGTCCCAGCAGTGATGTAAGCAGGCGTTGCGTTTCGGCTGACACACTGAGCTTGTGGTTTATAGGGACATTTACAGTTCTACAGTGGAGTTTGTTTTGGGACTCCGAGGTCCTGCAGCTCTTGTGTGAGTGAAAATTTTTCTTTGAGCGTAACAAGCAGTCAGACGTTTTACTTGAGAGCAGAAGCTATCTACTAACTGTCGCTTAGTGAAACCTTTCACGCGTAAAGACAATACATAAATCATACAGCTCATTCAAGGAAAACAGGAATCTATTGTGTTGAAGAAACAGAAACTGAAAAAAGGAGTTATTTTTGAGGCCCTAATAGCCTTGACTTTCTACTCCATTTTAACACTGGGTGGTAAAATTAAGAGTAATTAGCTGCTTCTTACCTGATAATTTAAGCAGATCGTGTAACAGTGTTTGTGTGTAAATAGGCAAAATTTTGATGATAACCTAACAGTGATGAAGTTTGGATGATTGAAAGCTATAAGCCAGATTTCACACCTTCTCAACCACATCCCAATACGATATTTTAATTATTCAACCGAATTCTTGTGAATGTTTCCCATTGCGTTTTGGTTGTTGTGTGGTTCTAGGGAGACTTGTCTGTTCTGTCATGTGGCCTACATGTTACCACAAGGGGCTGATGATGTCATGGTGCTGTCTAGGAAGGGCGCTGCCAGTAAGTGGGAGGGCCATTGACCTCTAGTGTCCTACAGCAGACATTTAACAGTCAGTTTTTGGTTTGGTATTTTCAATGTCTGTGTTTTGTTGTCGTGCAACAGCTGAAGCCTTTCGGGAAGTGCCATATTAGGTATCAATTAAGCAGTTGATTTTGACAGTTTTGTAAATGAATGGATTTAAGATTAGATGATAACCATGCTGTGAAAGTTGTTTTTAGGTATGTAATATACCTCTTTCAGTCTGAACAAACAGGCTCTCTGAAATTTCAGAGGTAATTTTAAAAAGTGCCCCGTGCACATCACCCTAAAATGAATCTAAATCATTAATGTGACATTGCGACCAGGGCTGTGGAGTCGGAGTCGAGTAGTCTGAGTCGGAGACAATTTTGGGTACCTGGAGTCGGAGTCGGCAAAAAGTTAACCGACTC